GAAACATTCCGGTTTATTCGTAAACAGAGTGGCTTTATTTGAGTGTTTCAGATTAAAGGCAAAAAAATTATTGAATATATAAATAAATAAATAAAAATAAAAAAGAATTAAGAAAGCTGTGTAACAAATCTTTTTCTAGCCACTGACTGTCACTTTTGCTACAAAAGTACTTCAAAATACTTAAATTAATAAAACATATAAATAATCTGATGTATTTATGTTTATAAATTGCAAAAATGAATCAATTTCTGCCGTATTGTCGGAATTAATACCATAAAAAATATCTTTCTGGAGGAGCGCAAAAATTGGCAACTATGATTTTTTAGTATAAAAAAGTACTATTGTATTAAGTGCAATAATCAATTATTTATATATATGTTTAATTATTTCTAGGGTAAATGAAACGCTCGCTTTCACTTAGTGCACACCACACATAAAACGAATTTATGATACATGCACACATTACGAATTTATCATATTAAAAATAAAAAATATAATTCTAAATCTACCACTTAGATAAGAAAGCAATTTAAAATTCGATTACTCCTTTGAATAAAAATTAGAGTATCAGATATCATATTTCGTATTATTAATATCTACATTTAAAATTCGTTTGTACGTTATTTGTAGTGGAACTGGGCGTATGAGGCCTTACTGCCCTTCTACATTTAAAATTCGCACATTAGCAGGGAAATGTAAAAAGTAGTAGAAACTTAATTAATTTTTATTTATTTATTATTTCTTTTATTATTCAATCGTACTTGCATTTGGAGTGTATTATGAGATGTTTAAACTTCCGGGGGGGGGGGGGGGNGGGGGGGGGGTAGATGGAAATTTATTATAAAAATCTCAAAATAAATGTAAGAAAGATACCCATAAAAACTAAAATCACATTAACGAATTCCTTGATAAAAAAAATCTTGAGTGAAAAATGAGAGAAGATAGCATTCACGACATTTTTTAATTCAAATTATGCAGCTCAACCTTTTCTGAATCCGTAATAAATATAATTACCGCTAATTTCAAAAGTCCGTGATAAAGCTATTTTACCACTTTTAATTTGGGTTTCCATTTACTAATAACCTTAGCTCGGATGAAGTAAATTAAAGTACTCAAATTTGACTGTAATTTAACAAAGGCCTCACAGCCAACACTCGAATCCTTTTCTTTGCCAAAGCCAAATAGTCTCAATTGTTATTTCACATCATCAGAAGAAGGAGTGAGATGCCCGCTTCGCGGACAGGTACTCTGCTGCAATACATATCAAGTCAAGTAAATTAAAACCGTAAGGTCTCAGACGCCCAGTTTCATTACAAGGAACGAACGGAGTAAATTAAAATCAGTGACCATATGCATTTTTTCGAAAGCTTATAAAAAGTTATATGCCTTTGCGGTTTGCAGTGTTAATAAAACTATATTATAAATAAAAAAATAATAAAAGGCAGTAAGCTCCCTACCTTTTCATAACTCGTAATAGGCCGTGGTAAACATACTTATCATGAAAAAGAATGGCGTTAAAATTTAAATTAAATTTATCTAATAAGCTAATGGTTTTTTTCTCATATCCATTTCAACTCCAAAAATATTTTAATATACCTTTACTAGAAATAAATGTTCTGTTGAAGGGTTAAAATAATTATAAAATAAATTCCTGTTGCATTTCACACATTTACGCAGAAATTTCAATACTGAAGATGCCCCCATTATAAAAATGTTAAGAAAAATAGCTTCCACTTGCTTCCACATGTTTACATTAGTGAGAAACTAGTTATTAATTGAATCAATCAATTAAAAAAAATTAATAAAAATAAATTTAGCGTTTTAAAAAACTCTCGTTAATTCCGATTTCGTTTGTTTTCCTGGTTATTATTTTAAATTAGGCTCTTCATAAGAACGCAATAAAATTTATAGCTTTAGTACACAACTTAGATTTCAAATATTGTATCTCATACTTGTATTTCACATATGTCCATTAAATAAAATAATACAAACATAGTAAACAATGTAAGAATATTGCAAGGGTTTGCTCAGTTTATACACAATATTGACAATATTGTAATACAAAACTTATTTATAAATCTTTATAAGCTTTCACTTTTAAATTGTAAACTCGTTTTACTCGATTTTATAATTATATATACATTAAGTGCGATGGTGAATACGAACTAATGAGAATGCATTCCTACTCTTACTACCAAGTTTTCTCTGAAATATTGTAAACCCGAATATTTTTATTTTATAATTTTATTACTGTCATTTAACAGCCAACCCAATTTGGGGGGGGGGGGGGGGGGGGGGTTTAGGATTACTAATGATCAACTCCATAGCCTTGTAATTTTGAATCCAATCCAGAAGACAAGGGAACTCCTGGATCAAGTAATAGGAGAAATTTGCCTTCATGGAGGACTTTTTGATGGAACTAGCCCGCATTTGCGTTACATGGAGAGGAAAACCACGAAAACCTCCTACGGTTAGCCCCACGACAAGAGAATTCTAACCCATGATCCATCTACCACTGAGGATTTTTTGCGTCATTGTCGGTGCAACTCGGATGCGAAATTCGTATCGACCAGTCATCGCTGGGATTCGAACCCTGCTCTCCTCATTGGAAGGCGAACGCTCTATCCCTTGTGCCATAAACCTGGATATTGTAAAATATCGTTGCAGTCCATTTAATGCTTCTGGTGTTGTTCATGATGCAGAGATGCCAACTGCTCCGCTTTCTGGAATAGTTTTAATAAAGTGGTAGCAAATTATTTAGTAAGATTAGTTAAAGTAAGATAGTTACGCCTACTTTTTAATACAGCAACCAGTTGATTGTTGCTTTAAAGTAACATTTCATATCATATTCATAATTTTTGATATTTAGTGGTGAAAAAATTATTTAAAATGAAAAATACTAAACTGAAAGTAACTTAAAATTCACTACCACTAGAAAATACTATTTTACAAAGCGGAGCAAGTTGGCATCTTTGATGATGAATGCGTAAACATATATATTAAGACGTTCTCTACCAGCCGAGAACTGGTGTTTATGCTATATCTGTCATTAAAAAGTAGTAATCGATAAAAAAATAATTTTCTTTCATTAGCAACAATTTTATATAGTTTTTCACAGTAAGCTATAATAAACATTAAACAATATGTTATTTTTGGGAGAAAACATATTTTCTACGAAAATAGTTGGATCTTGTTATTACTTAATCTGTTTTTTCTACTAGGAGGAATTTCATCAGTGGGATCGGCAGCAAAAGTGCTGTCATGACATGCAAAATCTAAAAAGTGGTAGTAAAGATTTTTCAAGGTTAGTGATAACTGTTTAAATTTAGACTTCAATTAAAACAATTGCAAAATTCTTACCACTTCCACATGTTTTGTACAGATAGAAATATCTTTAGTAGATATAATAAATATCTCTTTTAACAATAGAATACCTGCCAATTTTACGCTTTTCAAATAAGGTTTTTGGTAATGAAATGACAATTGAAGTAACGTTGTAAGCAGGCATTCAATTCACATCTAAGCAACACTTACAACACAATAATATAATCAGTGCATGTAAATGCAACACAATAATATAATCAGTGCATGTAAATGCAACACAATAATGTAATGGCGATTAAAATCAGCTGATATTAAATTTGTGAAAATTAGAATCAAATATGAATGTAGAAAGTTTATCACTTTAAATATCCGTAAAATGCGGAAAATTTGGAAGATATGTTTGAATTAATCAAAACTATTTTAATTGTAGCTGAAATTATTGAAACTACATAAATTTTAAAGATAAAAATTGTGACGCATTAGGACTTTATATTATTATTAGATAATATGAAAATAATATAAGTAATAATATTTGATATTTGAAATTCTGGAAATAAAAATCAAATCGTATTATATATTAATTATAGAAGTAAAAATATTTAAGTATCGTTTGTTTTATTTTATTATATTTTTCCTTTATATATTTAATTTATTTATTCAGCTATTTTTTACTGATACCTCAGAAAAGTTTTTCAGAAGAGTTAAATTTTGACAAAACATTGCATTAACACAATTGTTATGAATTTCAACACAATTGTTCTGCATTTCAAAGTTTCACTTGATTTAATTACAGAAAATGCAATGATTTTTTCTCGTTTGAAGGAATTTAGACACTCTCTTTGGTAAAATAAAATAATCTACTCTTCTTTTTATAGGTTAATAAAGCATGTATCCGTAAGATGGCGCTTAAAATTGAAACGAAAAACTCCTTGTAGTTAACTATTTTTGAAAAAAAATTCAAACAACGAAGACCATTATCTTTTACTTAGAATGAAACGAAACACAATTTTAAAAAAAGATCGTAAAAATTTTTTTCTGTACTGGTTATATTTTCTGAAGACCTTTTATGACAACATTGCTAATAACCTTTATTTCAAAAACAAGGATAGAGTTAAAAGAAAAATAAATTTAAATGAAGATAATTTTAATGTGAAAGATACATTTTTTAAAAAAAATTCTGAAAATGAAGACAATTTAAAAATGAAAGATAGATTTAAAATAAAGATAGTTTTAAAAAAAAGATATTCATAAATTTGTTCATAATTTTGACAACTCTTATTAAACAATGGAAAAATGGTTAAAATAAAATCATATGGCTACAATACATTACACAATTAAAATCTAAAATTTGATCCTTTAAGATAAGCAATTTATAAGATATGGAAACAATATTATATTTATTAGCGATCCACAAAACATATAAATTCCTGTTCTGTGACAAAAAGAAAAATTCCTCACTATTTTTTGATTTTTCAGGTATATTGTAGACAGATATTAATTTTTCTAAATATTTTCAATTGTGTGTAATTTATTATGCTTTTTCTTTCTTTCTTTTTTTTTTTTTTGAAATTAAAAATAATAATTTTTCTACATTTATATTTTTTTACTGCAAACAATACCAATTTTTTTAGATTAAAATAAATTAATAGTTAAATGATTATATAAATAAAACTTACCGCATTACGAATGGTAATTCAAACTAAGCACAGAAACCAAACACAACAACCCTACACAAACTTCGAAGATAATTTAATTCCAGATATTCTTTTACACAAAGATTAAAAATATAAACAAAAACTTAACCAAAGACGGCTCCTACGATTTTTACTCGAACCAGTTCGACAATTTTCGAAAACAAAAAAAAGGAAGAAAAAAAAAAACAAAGGAAAGTGTTTCGCGTCCTACACGTTATTGCGGTTGAAATGAGTATGTCGCCTGTTTCTCTACACGATTTCGAAGAAAGTGTTTTTTCCCCCTTTCGCTCTTCAATTTCCCTTTTTCATTGCTTTTTCCCCCAATGACACTCCTTCGACCTTATATACGCGAATTTCAACTTCTTGATTATTCAGATTAATTTTGGCAATAAACGATATATTCACATTAAAACGAAGAAACTAAATCTGGCAGCATAACAAAATAAAACTAAATTTAACGAACGAAATTTTAAAAACAAGAAACGTTTCTAATTAGACACAGTTATTATACAAAGTATCAATAGTCGCAATGTATCAATAGTTCTATAAATACTATAACAATAGTTGCCAGTTAATGCTAAAAGTTTAACATAAATATGTAAGAAGTTGAGCATAAATTGAGTATCACTAGTTAACAAAATAAAACACATCAAGCTTGATAGTTTTAGAGCTAAATGCAGTGCCTGATTAACACCTAGGCCCAATAGGCATGGGCCTAGGGCCCACAATTTCTGAGGGGCCTCAAAAATTAGTAAGAAGTTCTCAATATTATTATTTCTTTTAAATACTGAAAGAAACAGTTTTTTCTCAGAAAAATTCATTTTTTTATTTCAATTTTCGTGGTTATCGTAATACAACCAAACTCACGTAAACATTACACTAATCAAATTTGAAAGTTATGTGAGTAAACTTTGTGTTCTTTTAACTATTGAATAATTACAGCTTAATGACACAGCAAAAGTACATGATAATTCTTGTTTGTGGTCACCAAAGGTCTTTAACTATTTTCATTTAAACATTGTTTCTTTTTTTTAAATTCTGCTTTTATGTATATTTAGTCATATTTAAGGTCAAATTTTAAAGTAGGAAAAGCCTATTAACTAATGTAAGCTGACAATGATAATGATAATTAATAAGTTGAATCAGATATTACTACAGAACAGAATTTTGAAATTCTCATAAAATTATTTGCTAAAAAAAAATTTAAAAAAATGTTTGTTTTTTAAATTTTAAAAAAAAAATTTAGAAGTCCATTATATTGAATACTTTCAAGGGTATTAATATTTGGAGTATAACTTTTTCATTGAATATGAATTTTAATTTTTCAAAATGAATTATATCTAAATAAATTATTTAAATGTGTTTTCAATTTACTATGAGTAGATATAGTTTTGGCTCTTTTGGCTGTTTTTTATGTTTTGAAATGTATTTTTTAAATAAAAATTATAATTAATAACCTTAATATCTTAGCATATATGCTGAACTTATCGTTAAATCCATTTAAAGGTGGTCTAGATTTGTGCTGGTTTAAGTACTAAATAAAAATTAAATTACAGCTTACATTAAAAAAATAATTCAGCTAATCAGAGACTTTTAGCAAAAAACACTGATAGCAATTGTTTGTGATCACTAAGGCCCGGATTTTGATGACATTTGCATTTTTTTGCATTTTTTGCATTTTTGGACATTTTTTGTCTTTTAGAGCATTTTTTTAGATTTATAGGGCATTTTTCTTGAAATTTTGGGGCGTATTTTGCATTTTAATGCATTTTTTAAAGTTTTCTGTTAATTTTTTGCAATTTTTATTATTTTTTATCAATTTTCATTATTGCACTGGCTTCCAAACAATAAAGAAAATCTCTAGGATATTAACAGGTGAAGCAACATCTTTTCAAATTGAAGAAGAATTGTCAGTAAGTAAGACAGTCTTTTTCAAGACCGTCTATAACATCAGTAGACGTTGAAAGAAGCTTTTGCAGGAATGAAAATTTACTTTCAGACAAGAGATGCACATTTACATTTCAAATTATCAAAAAACATTTAATAATCCAATGTAATTCTGATATTTAGTAATATTATGAGATGGAAGTTGTTATATCCATTAAAGTTTCTATACAAAATAAAAATATTTTGGTGTCAATATATTTTCCTTTTTTTTGTTATTTTAGGATATAAAACATATTTTTCAAACTTTAATGTGCGTAGAACAAGTATTGCATTGCTTTATATCTTTTAAATGACTCATAATAATTTTAAAGAGCAAAACATTTTTTTAATTCAATATTTTTACTTTATTTAAGGCATTTTTTGCGCAATTTTTGCATTTTTAAGGACATTTTTTGCCCTTTTTAAGGGCATTTTTTGCACTTTTTAAGGGCATTAGTTGAGATTTTTTAGGTCATCAAAATCCGGGCTCTAGTGATCACCAAACTATTTTTATTTGAACAATCATAGTTTTGATGTTTTATATTTTGCTTTGATATATTGATGCGTAAACTTTATCTTAGAAATATAATATTCAATTATCTGCTTTTAAAAATTTCTTAAAATGTTTCTCTTGAATCATGCAGTTCAATAGATTCTTTGCTGTTCGGACTGCTATTCCGAAATTTAATTTCAAAATGTTTTGTAAGGGGCCCGAAAATTTGGTGGGCCTTGGGCTTGAATTTGTCTTGATCGATCCGTAGCTAAATGTATCATGCCTAAAATGCAAACATTGTTTGATAAACAAAGCATCATATTTCACATAAATATGAACAGTTAACTAGGGAAAAGTATGGGTAAGACCGGATAGCTAAGATTAAAAGACCTGTTGGAGTTAAACTGTTCGACCAAACCTTATACGTGAATTTCAACTTCGTCTTGTTCGTCTTCGCTTGATTATTCAGATTAATTTTGGCAATAAACGATATATTCACATATAAACGAAGAAACAAACTAAATCAGGGAGCATAACAAAATAAAACTTCATTTAACAAACAAAATTTTAAAAACAAGAAATATTTCATGCATTAAAGTTTACACAGTTATTATGAAACGTATCAATAGTCGCAATGTCCTATAAATACTATAACAGTAGTTGCCACTTAATGATAAAGCTTTGCATAAATATGTAAGAATTTGAACATAAATTGGCTATCACTAGTTAACAAAATAAAACATATCAAGTTTGATAGTTTTAGAGGTAAATGCATCATACCTAAAATACAAACATTGTTTGATAATCAAATCACATAACTATAATATACTATTTCACATAAATATGAACAGTTAACTAGAGAAAAGTAGGGTAAGACCAAATAGTTAAGATTAGAAGACCTGTTGGAGCTTAACTGTTCGACCCAAAAATTGTTAGATTTAATCAAGATATACATTGTTCAATGGTGTACAATATATCATTCTTAAAAAGTCATAGATGACTTATTTTTTTAAAAATGAAAAAATGATTTTTTATCTGAAAAAAGTCAAACACTCGATGCTTTGTCTTACCCTACTAGTGAGATAAGACCCGGTGCATAAGTAATCACTATAGGAAATGCTAAAATTTCAGTAAAAAAGTAGCACAATTTTATTTTAAATGACAATTTAGGAAAATTCACATGTGAAGTAATTATCTTCTTCCTTCGCCGTACTGCAGCTTTCATGGGTGTTGCAGTGAACTGATCGTAAACACACGATTCCCAGTAGAACACCGAAGTCAAGCATCTCTGGCTACGATCAGTAAGCAGGTGGATGAGCAGTTTGATCAGCCTGTATAGGGATCGAGGGTGCGCGATATCGGCACTCGTTAAACTGTTCTACCGTAAAGTGCTCGATTTTGCGAGCAAGTCATCGGACTACCAAAGCAGGGGAGCCATTCCCTCTGCAGAGGATCAAAATTGCGCTGCCATGTCTTCGAATCATCCTCATTGCTTTCTCCCAGACCGTCGCCAATTGCCCATTGTGCAGCTCCAGTGCGATGTAAACAAAGTACGTACTTACCTACCTAGCAGCTTTCACCTTTTTCTCCTTTTTTTTTTTTTTTTTAAAGCTAGAAAAAAATCATTACGGCATAAACAATCAATACCTGATGCGTTTTTATCGGAAAAAACAAATGGATAAAATAAAAGATTTTTTTAAACATATAACTGGTATGTTATTTTGGTTCTTCATACAATCCTCCTTTTGGCCATTTTTCATACTTTTTATTCTTTTCTCATATTCTAAATCAGCTTTATATGCGAGCAAAGGCGATATATGCGAGAAAACAAAACAGAACCATGCTACTACTGAATCCTTTATTGTTTGTTAGGGTACGAACCCTTACGTATAATAAGCTGAGATAAATAGATTTTTTATAATTGCAAAGACCAATGAATAAAGGCAGTTTAAAAGCAAAAGAACTTTAAAAAGATGCAGATGACACAGAAAAACAACTTATCTACACATGCACCATGAATTCAACAACAGCAAAATGCCATTATGACAACTTCTTCGTGCTATCTACTACTAAAATGTAATTCAGTCTGTCCGCTGAAAAACAGAACTAATTTCTCCAGAAAGGAGATACCTGGTTTTAACCCATGACCTGGTCCAACCCAACTTTCCCCTTTGTAATTCTCATACCATTTTTTTTTTTACAGATATCAATTTTTTTGACATGTGTTGGAACTCTATAAGCACATTTGCTTTTATACTAAGTGGATATCCCCTAGTTACATCGGATTTATTTAAAATTAATTTGTAGATTTTATTGTTAATGTATTTTAATCTTTTACAAGATAAATGCTGATAGTTAAATAGTTGTACGTTTTACCTTTTTGAAAATAAACTTAGACTTTTCTTCAGAAAGTGTAATATTTATGCCCTTTGGTGAAGTACCCTTAAAAGCACTCATACAAACTCAGAATCAGGGTGAAAAAAATAAAAAAGAGGTAACTTTAATGTTGGCACTGCTAATTTTACAGACTTATTTTGCTTTCACTTTAAGCGATGCTAGTCTAATCACATACCCATATCAGCCAACTTTTGTGCTTTTCAAAAGAGTGTTTTGTTGGTGGTAGAGAAAAAACAATTCAATTGATATTCTGAGCTGGAGTTACGTTAAAATTTAGTCTGCACTTAAAAAGATATTTAGAGTACTAGCAAGCCTACCATATACATGTTTAAATGTAATGGTAGTCAATATCATATTAAACGGCATTTATTATATAAATTTTGAAACCACATTAAATACAGAAATAAAATCTTCCGAAAAAACTTAAAAATTACAAGGAT